TCTATTTCTTTAAGACGTCTTTTTGCTACACTTTTTACCATCTGCAGCCCTAATGATCCAAATTTTTGTAGAATAAATTCAAATCTTATATGATTGATGATTACATCCATGAAAATATTCCTTCACATGATGCTGAACTTCGGGCTTTAAAGGATATTAGTTGTATGTTAGAATCTTTAAGTAAAAACATAAACGATTATGAAATAGTATCATACAATGTAGATATGAATGTAAATGATAAATTGAGGAAAATGGTTGAAGATGAGACAAAAAATCTGAATATTGAAGAAAACTATGTTTGTGCATCAAGTTTAAATAATAAACAACAAATTGCATATGATATGAAAAATAACATCGGGATCAAGTGAAGCCTTCTTCATGGATGATCCAAGCGTTACAGGTAAAACATTTTTATATAAAGCATTGCTAAGTGCTGTAAGGTCTCAATATGCAACCGCTTTGGCAACTGCATCTTCTAGAGTAGCTGCATCCCTTCTATCTGGAGGTAGAACTGTTCATTCGAGGTTTAAAATTCCTTTGGAAAAAGTAGGTGAAATAAGTTGCTCTGTTAGTAAACAATCTGCTTTAGGAACATTGTTGAAAATGTACAAGTTAATAATTTGGGATGAAGCTCCTATGATAAATCAGTGTGCTGTTGAGGCTGTGGTTAAAATGTTAAAAGATATTAACGATTGTAATTTGCATTTCGGTGGTAAAGTAATAGTTCTTGAGGGTGATTTTTGACAAGTTCTATTGGTAGTACCAAGAGGGAAAAAAGAAGACATAATTAAAGTTAGCTTGATCTTCTCTGATCTATGACCTCTATTATTACATCTACCATTAGTTGAAAATATGAAAGCAAAGCTTGATCCTACTTCTTCTGATTACTTGTTAAGAATTGGAAACGGAACAGAGCAACAACATTCTTGCAATTGCATTCAGCTTCCAAGTAATATAATTGTACAGTTTGAGAATGAAATAAAATCTTTAAAAACTTTAGTACATTATGTTTTTCCAAATATAAAAGCATATGCTGACAATTTACATACGATGGCAAATCGAGTCATTCTTACGTCTAGAAATGAATGTGTTGATCATATTAACAAGATTTTGTTAGAACAGATTCCTGGTGAAATTTTTACATACTATAGCTTTGATGAAACAATCAATAAATCAGAACAAAACTTGTAAGAAGATTTCCTTAATAGTTTTACCTCTAAAGGTATTCCACCACATGAGTTAAAACTTAAAGTGGATTGTCCTATCATGTTGCTGCGAAATATCAATCATTTTGAAGGGTTATGCAACGGAACACGACTTGTTAAAAATTTGAGAAAAATGTCATTTTGGCTAAAATTACATAAGACGAATATTATATATATATTCCATTCAAAAGAACTCAATTTCTAATTAGGCCATGCTTTGCAATGACAATAAATAAAGCACAAGAACAAACCTTGATTTTGTTGGTTTATATCTTCCAGAGCCATTTTTTGTCATAGTCAACTTTATATAGCATTGTCAAGAGCTAAAACAAGTAAGTCTCTAAAAGTTTTAATTAACCCATCAACTGATGAAACTTTGCACATTATTTGTACTAAAAATGTAGTATATAACGAAGTTATTTCATTTATACATCTATAGAAGATATCGTTGAAGCAATACATGTTTGTCATACATGTAATAATATTCATAAACTTAATTTTGAATACAACTTTAATTATTATTATCTGTGCCATTTTTTTGTTGCTGACATATAGATTCGATCAATATAGGAAAGTGTGCCTTTGTATTTTATCTTCTTTTGTAGCTAATTTTTAGATCAGAAATGTTGCTTATTTACTAATCTATATGTTTTTGAGCAGTGTTGTAGTTATAATGCTTTGGCCTTAAGACTTCGAAATTGTTAAAGGGATAGGCGGCAGCATATTAGTTTTTGCAACATATAATATACTACAAACAAATACTGCTACTACTCAACAAAATTCTTTAGAATGGATTAAGAAAGATGAGATCAGAACGCTACATGCTGTTTACTAAGTAAAGGGTTTAAACAAAACAATAAAGTATGTCTCCTCTCTTTTCCGTTACTTATTTTTTGTCTTAGCTTTTTAGTTATTTTTTTTACAATTCATTATATAGATATAATTAACTGCTGGTTGTAGATTCTTATTCAAATGTGTTGGAGATCAAATTGCTTAGGAAACAAAATATTTCTGATGAAAAATATACAAACGTATTTATTAAATATGGGTCAAAAAAATTTTACTTTGTTATTGAACTCGCATACAGTAAGTATTTAGTAGTTTTTTCAAATTATTATTTTCTTTATCTGTACTATCAATTGAATGCAAAAATATTACTATGCCATGCCTTTTTTTACAAGTAGCATATAACTTTTTCTTTCAATATTAGTCTATCGTTTTTATTACTTGTTTATTTTTCATTTATTTATGGATATGGGAAATGCATATATTTAGTTGATTGCAGCTAGTGTATAATTTTTACTGTCAATGTTAGCCTATCGTTCTTATTACTTTTTTTTATTAAACTTCATGTTACTGATAGTGTTTATAAGTGTCTCTTTCTTATATACTTAGTTTAAATTATTTTGTATTGGATAATCTAACATTCAAAATAATTTTATGTCTCCATTTTTATGACTCTATGTTGATTGTACATACATTACTTGACGTTTGTCCCCTACCATAATGTGATATTGCTTTTGTTAATTTATGCTTACAGATTCAAGAAAAAACTCTTCTAAAGACAGTTTAAAATTTTATGCAATTTTCCGTATGCTGAGTTTAAAAGATTTATTTTGTAATTTTTAATAATAAAATTTGTTCTTATTTTATTTGGAAATACACACACACACACACACACACACATAAATACAATTTTATAGTTGTCGCGTCAAACTTTGTAGTGACTACAATGTTGCTATTCTTCTTACCTAGTGGCAAATTGCTTCTAAATTGTAAACTAACTACAAACAGGTTTTTATTCCTTTTTATATTGAAAAAAAGAACATATTGCCTACAATTAGTTAACAGTTTCTTCACACTTTCTTCCCTTCAGTTATGGGCCAGCGTAAAAAATGAATATCCCTAATTATTCAAAACTTTCGAGTTACGATGAAAAGGATTTTAAGTAGACTAAATATATTATAGTTTTACATGTTTTTAAATAGTATGTAGGCCTATAATGTGTTTGGCAATTTCCTTAGTTATGCTGTTATCTTGAATTTACGAGGCAAAACTTCAAATCCTTTGTTGAAACAATAAAGGGGTAAATAGAAAATAGTTGAATACTACTCGCGAATTGATAGGCTACTTACTACAATCGATTATTATTTTTTTCTTGATTTGTTCATTTTAATTTTGTAAATAACTGTTCATATATATAGATACTTCTATACATGGCTCTTGGTCAAAATTTAACAATTAATGACAATCATTTCAAATTTGAAGTTTTTGTTACCGTTCTTAAACTTGTATTAAAAGTAATTTGCTATGTACTTTTATTAAATTCTTTGCTACTATAGTTATTTTTTTCTTTAAAAAGTAATTGTTAAGGACTTATGGTTGCAGTGTGGCACGTTTTGGTTTTAATTTTACCAATTATATGAGTTTCAAATTTGATCAATTGGATAAATTAATACTTCATTAATCTATTTATCATCATTAAATTTAATGAATACAAAATGTAGTGCCTCAGTTTTATACTTGTGCTTGTGAGTACGAAATTGCTCTTGAATAATAAATGTTGGTTCTTGTTTATATTGACTCACCTTGTTTGTTCAGTGAAAATGAAATATGAAAAGGGTTTCTCAATCTACAATTTTTTTGAATGATTAGATACTGAACTGTCTGAAAAGGTTTTCCTCACTAGTTCTATCATGTTAGCAACTGCTGCAGATTCACTTTCTCGCCTTCGAAGAAATGGCGACTAAAGAAATCCATGTTCCTTTTTTGACAAATAAATAGTTCTACAGCATATCCGTCCAAGTAATGTTGGGCAGCCTAATGTTGAGTCTTCAGTTAAGCTTCAACTAAGTATTTGATTAATAAAGAATTTTCAATTCAAAGATTTCTTGAAATATTTTTATGTCTTTTTTATTGTTCCAAATAGTCGTAACTTGTACAACGACTACCGCTAATATATATTGAACTTGTAAACTATTGGTTCTTATGTCGAATTTCTTTTTCGTAATTGAAGGGAATTTTTATTTTCGTTCCTCTTTTGTATTATAAAACTATCTTCTAACGTTCTTATAATTTTGTAAGTAGGTAATGTTTGTTCAGCTATTACTCTATAAATAATAAGTGACATTTATTTCTATATAATTTTTTTTGTATTACATATTACTGTAACTAAATAATAGTAACTGAATCGAGGAGTAAAAAATAAACGTTCTATGTCAAATAATAATAACAATCTTATTTTGACATATTCACTTATAAAACTTTTCAAATAACATAAATATATCTAATTACAATTTACAAATATTAATATTTAAAACTTTTATATTAATAAATAAATTATAAAATATAAATAAACAAAAACAAAATAACTATCGTTCCTTCGTATGTAAAAAAAATGAATATTTAATTAAAATTTACAAATATTGATATTTAAAATTTTCATATTAATAAATATAAAATATAAATAAACAACAAAATTTACACGATTTATTTAATTGATATAATTGTTACCTTAAAAAATTAGATTAGATATTTGCATAGAAGATTTTTTGTATTCATTAAATGAATACATAAGTATAATTATATCTTCTCTTTCTATTAAATGATGAATAGACAAGTATAATTATAAACTTATCCAAGTATAGTTATCTTCCCATAATAAATATTTTTCAACTAACACATGACTACAATTACTTTCCTAGATTGTGTATAAAAAAATTCAAAATATCTATTAAATATCTCTTTGTCATAAGTATTTATTATAAATACCATACATACCTTATTGAAGTTCATGCATATACACTTCATCTCTACTTATCAACTCTTCAAAAAATAACTTTTTCGTCTGTTTATTACTGTTATTCTTTTCATTTCTCCAAAAAATGTTGCTTCCCATTTTCATAACTATTTTTACTCTAACTTGTTCTTGTTCATTAACAAATATCGAAAATGGCTGCATCATATAAATTAATCCCACAGATTGGAACTTCAGAAATGAATTGGTTTGCAAAAGTAGTCATTGTAGGAAAGCAATCACCTAAGACTGCTCGTAATTCAACTACCAGATACCAAAAGTCCTCGTGGATTTAGAGGTACATAAGTAATAGCATTTTTCATAATTTTAAACTTTTATTACACCTGTATATTTTATAAATCCTTTCAACTTCTCTAATGTGAAACACGGTAATCAAGTTAGAGCAACACTGTATGATGCAAATATTACGGCACTTAACAATCAGCTGGACCTAGGGAAAACATATGTCCTGTCGAATGCAACGGTGAAAGATAACAAAAGCCAGTTTAAAAGCTTAGTTGATGAAAAAATTTAGACTATCACAGGAAGAACAAAAATTGAAGAATTGCACGAGAATAACTTGAACTTTGCCTTCTCACAGTATCAACTTACTCAATTTGATGAATTAGATCAACACATGGATAAAAATATCAACATCAGTAAGATTTCTAATACCTCGCTTTATTATCATGTATTTTACAATATTCTACAGTTATCTTATGATCATCTTCAAATTAACTATATATGACACACAAAAATATTTTTCCTTGTAGGTATTATAGGTGTAGCTGTGGACGTTAAAAAAAATGAATTATTCAAATGCATTTTGGTACATAAGCAACTCTTCAAGATGTTATATTGATGGACAAACGATGATAGACAATGATGCTAACCCTATGAGATAGTTTTATGGATCGAGAATGTATTACAATTCTTGAAAATCTTGCAAATAGACCCATTATATGGGCTACTAATCTTAAGATGTCCTCGTTCAATGGTATAAGCTTACATATCTATTCATTTGCTACATTTAAAAATTACAATTATATATTAATTAATATTTTTGTTGTTGTGCAAGCGTTACCCTTTCAACCAAAGTCAATAGCACATTCTTTATTAATTATGATATATATTATCTGTTGCAGACTATAGAAACCGGTTCTTAAAATAAGTTTCATTAATACAAAAAAAATTAATAAAACAATTATTTTTATTAATATTTTTATGTTTGTTTTTTACAGGATGGAGGCTAACAAAGAAAGACTTGAGAAAGTTGCAGAAAATAAGCAATTTGTTGTTGTCAGCCCGTCAAAGCTATCACCTCCAACTCAGGACAAATTCATGTCAATTGTAGATTTACTGGGAGTGTATTTAGTGGTAATTTATTTTTATTCAATATACAAGTAATATAAATACATTTTTTCGTATTTGTTAATAAATACATTGTCCTTTTAATATTTGTTAAATATAAATATTTTTTTTAGAAAAAATTTTACCGGGTCAAAGCACATTGTAAAATCATTTCGAAAAATAAAAAAATTTGGTATATGGCTTACAACAACTGCTAGAAAACATCCAACGTAAACTTTGACCAAATTTATAAATGCCTATTTCGCAAATGCGAACATGCAAAAGCTACTCCAAGGTAGCTTATACTATGAAACATATATTCAATTTATACGTCATATTAATAGTTTATGAAAGAATACATAATACATGCTATGCTTTCCAAAAAAATAAAAATAAAAATTCATAGAGTAAATGCTTTCATTTATCTCGAGGATAAATCTGGATGGCTGAATGCAAGCATTATTAGGAATACGACAGAAACGTTATTGGAAACTACTGCCAATGATGTAATGAAGCATTTCGAAAAGGTAAAATTAAAATTC